AAAAACATACATAAGTTTAAAAAAACGGAAAAAACATTATTCTTTTGTAGAAAACTGTATTTATTTTAAAAATAGAAAAAAATTATTTTATAACGTAAATTTAAACAATTTAAATATTTTTCTTATTAAAGTTTTGTATATTATATTTATTGCTCCATCAACATACATGTGTGACCATCAATAAAAAATATAAAATTTATGATTTTTAGATATATTATCGTCTATAAAAATGGTTATTTTCTTATGATAATTTTGTAGATAATTTTTGACTTCATACATCTATAAGAAAATAAATTCATCATGTATGTAGTATGAATATTCATCATTTTTACAAATTTAATTATTAGATGTTACTTGTACAAAATTTCATAGAACTTAAATGATATATTCAAAGAGAACGAGCAAAAAGTTTAAAATAAATTTTTGGTTATAATGAGCCATTTTTTTTCTACAAACTCTGTTTTAAAGTGTTATATGATTGTAGAGTAGATTCAAGTATATTGGAAAAACGTATGGAAGGTTCTCAAAACACAATGTTCAAAGAAATTAAAAATTCATATTATTTTTTGAATTTTAAGAATCCAGATTTGAGTATTTATATCATACAAATTTGATATAAAGATTGCATCATCTCTGAAATATAATCGCTCTCTTTTTTCAATTTTTTTATGAAATTGAATATATCTTTTAGTTCAAAGCTTCATTAAACACGGGTGAATTTTTTTAAGTAATTTTTTTTGAAAATAATTCAAATACCTTCCATGTATATTATTTTCCGATCTGACTAAACCCAAAAAAGAAATCATTTTTGTGAATGTTTTATTACAAATTTAATTTTGATTGTACCCTCTATTCATATTCAACTTGGTGAACTTTTTAGTTATCTAATTAAATAAGTCTTTATGAAATAATTTAGAGTTATTTTTCATTAATATTTCATGGAAATCACGATTATCATTGCATAATCTCATCTTCCCCCAATTTGTCTTCAAAAAGAGTTTTGAAACTCTTTAAAATGAAATTTTTGATAGAATAATCACTTGTTCAATAATTATGTCATTAAAAGTTAAGCATTATTTCAACTTTCTTGCATACAAATAATATAAACCTTTGCAAATTAATGCGGTTTAATTGAAATTTCAATCTCATGATCACACGTGTTTTAGATAATAAGCAGCTCTATAGATCATTTGAGAAAAATTATGTATTTCATAAATTAAAACAGTAAAATTTATTAAAATTTTATCTTTGAAATATTTTATATCTTTTATAAGTAGCAAAACTGTATAATATTTTTAAATAATAATGTTCATCATTAAATTGAACACAAAATTTTTATTGTAAAAATGTTCTTTTTTTATCCATTGTTTTTAGCCAATCCAATTCAAAATTGTAATGTTTCATTCATAACATTCTTAGAATGAGATTATGTTAAAAAAAAGTACTTTTCATTTAATCATATATTTGTTTATATCTATGTTTAAATTGTAATCTTAATGGGCTTAATTTTTAATTCAATTGTTCTGTTTTAAGATTACAGTTGTTCATTCATGTTTTGTACCACTGTAAAATCTAGTTTTAATGATAATTTCATTGATTAAACTTATAGAATGTTTTAGAAACAATAAGTTCTTTCAAGTTATGTAGTTTAGTAATCTCATTTGATACAAGTTAGACTTTGTGTCATGTTTGTTGCATCTTCTTGCAATCTAGACTCTTCAATGAGAATTATGAGATTGCAAGAAAATTTTACTCTCACTGTTTGTTTCACTCGATATATCTCATCATACTTTTCAAAAACTACTTATCCTATGTTGTTGAAAACTCTTTGCAACAGGATTCATCATTATGAAATTTAATAAAATTTGACAATGAAACACATTCTAGCTCATATGTTAGAATTACATTTGACATGACATCAAATTATCATTTTCAAGAACTGTTGACACATTTTGAATTGGTATTCAATAAATTTTAATTCATTATTTGATGTTGTAATTTTTTTGTGGTGTATAATTTTGCAAACATCAATGGATTTAAGATTTTTTTGTAATTAATTCTGAGAAAATTTATCAATTGGTCTTGTATTATCTCAAAATGAAATAAAAAATTTGAATAGTAGATTTTTTATCTTCTTTCAATATATCGTGAAGTATTACAAAACTATATTTTGTACTTGAATAATTTTTTTTACTCAATTTATAATATAAGTAGATCAAAATTTTTAAAAGAATTTTGTTTAAAGATTTTTTGATATTTATAGATAAATTCTTCTATGTTAGATAAATTTTTTGGTTATTATTTAAAAAAATTATTTTCAATAAAAATAAATATTTTATAAAAAATATTGATTTGTAAATTTTTTGGGTTATATTTATATGTTTACTTTATCACATAAAATTATATCAATTGAAAAAAATATAAAAATATAATTTAAAAATTTTCTTCCAAACATTAAATTGAGAAGTATCAAGGACGGTGCAAAATTTATTCAAAGAGTATGGCGATGGGGCTTTGACCAATAGGGAGTTGAAGCGTATTTTCTTAAACATGGAGGCGGTGCTGACTTTTTCACTTTAGAGCAATCTAGCAGGATAAATAAAAAGCCTCGAGACATTGTTTCTCCCTCTCGACAAAACTAGTTGAACTTGCCATTTTAGCATCATTATTAGGTATTGTTTTCTTGTTACTATTTCCATCTTTCTCACTTCAAGTGTTATTCCGAGCTTGTGTAAGTTGACGTCCGCATCAATTTGCCAAGAGTCCATTATCAAGATGGAAAACTCAAAAGAACCTGGAGTATCTTTGCCAAAAAAGTTTGACGGAGATTGTACAAAACTTCCAGATTTTGTCAATTTAGTTTGACTTGTCTTCCATCTCCAACCACAAGTAAACGCAACAAAATATACACAAGTTGGACTCATTGGATTACTGCTCTCTAGAATTGGGTTATCTTGTATTTTGTCAATACTGGAGAAATATTTGTCACTTTGGACAAAACTTGATCAAGTCTCGGAAAAATTCAGTAGAACATATGGAGAAAGAGATTAAGCCTTGATGAAAATCTTGCGAAGAACTTCAATGTACATACCAAGTCACCTGTTGGACTTTCTAAACTATTTATCAAGAAGGTCACGGCTCTCTTTCAATGTGCATGGAATATCGAGGACTAAACAAGGTCAAAATCAAGAAAGGTATCCATTGCCGCTCATTTCAGGTCTTCTTGGACACTTTGGTCAAGCAAAGATCCATACCAAGATTGATCTCCATGGAGCGTACAATCTAGTGAAAATTAAAGAAGTTGACGAATGAAATACTCCGTTACGAACTAGTTGTAAGCACTTTGGATATAATATCATGCTTTTTGGTATTACCAACCCCCCTTTCAACACTTGCTGGACAATGTAAACCTAATGGGTACAATGTGACTATGGAACTAAATTATAATTATTAGTTATGGATTCTTCATACAGTTGTGTTTTAAAATATAAGTGCTGAGTATCGCAACACACCAACAACAAAACTGAGTGATTGTTATATTTTCGATATAGATACATGGAATTGAAACTCAGAATCTTTGACTAGCACAAGAACTTATAAACGCATTTGAGTCACATGTGGCGCTTACATCCCACGAACAGAGGGACGCTAGCACGCCAGAAAGTTCTACTGTCCTTGCGTATCATCAGACCGAAGGCTCTGAGCGAACATTTCTGGGCATAACCAGCTTCCTGAAACTTCACAGCGAAAAAAGCAGCCTCACTTTCCTCGGACTAGAATTTTGCCACGGTCTGATTGTCGACCTTGTACTCTTTGTCACCTGATGTGGCTGCTGTTAGCATTGCACGCAACGACCGTGACCATGTTCCAGAGCTTTAACACAGGAACGGACCTCTGGGCTCGAGGTCTATCCATACGTCTGGTGGAATTGTGTAGTTTATTCAGACGACATGACCATGGTCCCAATTTTGCGCAGAGCCAGGAAGGCCGTACCAAGGCAACCACCTGCTCAACCGACATGGCTCAGAAGAAAGATGAACCGGAGACCGCCTTCGCATGATCATGCCAAATATCATCCAGACATTGCAGGCAGCAATGTTTGATTCGCAGTAATGGATTGTCGGACTCTGGCATCAATCTTTTGTGTAATATATATACAGTGATGGATGAAGACTTAACATCCAGTTTGAAATCACTTTGAGGGCTCCTTGTCCTATGGAAACCTTTTGTTAGAAAAAGTTAGTGCTGATTCACGAGTGAGAACCAGTTGGGTGTAAGGCCGGTGTGTTTCTTTTTGACTGATGGGAACGATCATTCTCAAACGAAAGCGGGGAGGATGAGTACTTATGGGAAGTCAGTACTCTTACTCTTCGAGTGTGTGAATGACCAAGATCCAAATCTTATCAAAATCTAGTCATTGCAACATCTACAAGATTTAAAAGTTCTAGCAATATTAAACTGATAGAGACACTCCAATGTTGTGCAATCATAGAACCAGGGACACCGTCAGTCTCCTCTGTACAAAAAGTGGGACAAGTACTTCCAACCTTCTGGTCTTCGACACCTGAAGAATATTCTCTGCTAACTTGCAACTACTTTCGTCGACGTATTCTACGACCTTCAAAAGTGGCAATCAAACGATCTTCACCAGCGGAAGAGTATTGGGATGTACTACATGTACTGCATGACCGATGTACGTAAACCTCGACAAAGAGTTTATAAACAGAATCAAATCTAGTCACCCATTGTCATTGACTCACGTAATCACTTTGTCATACTCCGAGTCCTAATTTAGAACGAGATTTCGATCGTCTAGTCTTGAATCTAATAGTACTATCGCTCTCTGAGGTCTATTGTACAGCTATGTTCATTTGCCAACTTCGCATCAGAAATGATTTTATGACGTGAAGAAAAAAATCATGATCTTTATATCAAAATTCTATCATCTATCCTTCCTACTGTCACTATCGTCAATTCTGCGATTCTAAATCTTCTCTTACATTCCCAGTCGGTCATTGATAAGAATACTCCTGACTTGAGACAGCTCTTGCTAAATGAATCAAATGTAGCGCGCCAATGTTCTACGCCAGGAATGCGAACATAAACCTGAAACTCCAGTGGAGCTCGCTTCGATGAGTACTGTTAGCTACTTCAATTTGGTTCTATATGTGCTCACGCAGGGGTAGATTCCACTGATTGCCTCCTGGCTCCTCTCTCTGACCTCGAATTGACTGCAAATTTCAGGCTGCTCTCATGAAGACCAGCAGCGTGCTCCTCGGCATTCCACTCTCCACCGTAGTAATCTTCCTCCGTGGATTTGACTCTAGGAGGGCAGATCATACCTCCCCATTGCGGGAAGTACACCAAGAACAGGACAGAAGTGCACGCCACTGTCATCACCCCCATCAGCATGATACCCGTCTCCGTCGAGTACTTGGAGCTCGAAAAGAACAGAACCTGAGTGAGAATGGACCCAACATTTCCTCCGGCACCAATGAAACCCGAGATTATTCCCAGCGACCTTCGAGAGATGAACGGAATCACACCGAACGTGGCTCCACAAGCCGCCTGGACGAAGACGGAGAAGATGAGCATCACAACAATGGAGCTGGTGAGCTGGTGAGTGATTCCCAGAATGATGCACAGAACTCCTCCGAGCGTTTGGATAATCCACAGAGCCCACAGACGGCCTCTCATTCCGAACCTGCGCGCCATCAAGTCAGAGATGATTCCACCAGCTGGTCGAGCGAAAATGTTCATGAATCCGAAGGTGGACGCGATGATCCCTGCCGTGGACAGATTGACGTCGAACCGATCGTAGAAGTACTCTGCGATGATGTTATCGACCGTCAGCTCCACTCCCAAGCAGTAACCGTACGTGATTGTGAAGATCCACGTCCTGTAGTTCGTGGCGCCGTGATACAGAACCTTTCCGAATGTGTCCGGGACCTTGTTTCCTGAGCGCTTCAGAGCTGCGTAGTTTCCATCCGGCAGATCCTGTCCCAGAGTGAGCACGAGGAGCCCCATCACCACGTGCATCACACCCGGAACGAAGAAGGCGAGACGCCAGGCCGTGAAGTACTCGGCTCCAAATTGGTGCTGGATGAGGCTGAAAACCAACGGCATCACCAGCTGAGTCACGCCGCCTCCCACATTTCCCCAGCCAGCAGCCGTGCCGTTCGCCAGGCCCACAATCTTGCTGTTGAACATGGAGCTCATCCAGAATTGGCACGACACGAATGTTGCCAGAGCGAAGCTAATGAAGAACCGCACCATGATAAACCCCGTAATGCTGTTGACGAGCGGCATGCAGAAAACAGCCGGAGCTGTCACCATGATCAGGATCGCACATCCGTAGCGAGGACCCGCGAGATCACAGATGGTTCCCATCAGCAGGCGGGAGATGATCGAGCCTGAGACTGAGGCCACGGCAGCATTCGCAATGTCTACCTTTGTCAGGTCGAGGTTGTCTCGGATGACGGGCATGAGAGGAGGCGGGGCAAATGTGGAAAAAAAGCAGGTCATGAAAGAGATCCATGACAAGTGAAAGGTTAGCATGTGCGGTGATGCAAACGAGTACAGGCGAAGTGTCTTCGCTTTGTGTTCGGAGTCCACGGGAAGTGCAAACTTGTTACCCTTCAGATCGGTAGCTTCATCGCCAGGAACCGAGAAGGCAGACTCTTGACCTTGTGGAGCCATAGTTCGCACGTCGTCAGATGCTGCGAGCGACCTCAGTGTCCACCAGCAGCTGCTGCGTGCGAGCTCGATGTCGGCTCGTCTTCGCCAGTAACAATCGGAAGTTCAGTATGAGCTGAGCGGGCAAGCACCCAACAGAACTGAACTTGCAAAATGCTGCTCTACATAATTGGGCTATCAGCTCGGAACACTACTTTGGAGAGTGGTGATCAAGGCCTTCTAGGAAATGTACTTGCATTGGATCTTGTTTGATTGAATTGATACAAACGTCACGTTTTATATGAAATTTTAAAGGGGCAGCTAGTGCGGCGTAGCCATATGCAACAACACGTCCTCGGATCCTGGACTTCTAACCAGTTCAAGGGCCCCAGACTCACACTCGTGTAGCCGCAGAGTTCAACTGCTTGTCCCTGAGCAAGCGCTTTGCACCTGGAAACAGAAGGCAGTAATGTGCCAGCCAATGTGCTGATTGATTTTCAAGAGATATTCGAAATAGTGAGGTCAATCAGCATCATGCATATCCTGTGCGGCATGAGGAGTCCCTCAATTCCACAATTCATCGGTTTCATCAGTATTGATGGTACTCCATCATCTGCTTATGCTGTTCCAAGGAAATGGCGGTATGAGTATCAAAGTGAGAGTGGATCTGGATTGTATTTGCGATGTATGCACAATGTTTGTGGATCCTCGGCGCAACTCATGCTTGACTCTCACTATTGCTTTTTCATATTTACCAACTGTCAATGTGGCAATGACCTTTCTGACGTTGATGGCCCAAAAACACTTTGCAGCGTCCGCGATGCTGGACTAAGATTGATCTAAGACTGATGAACGATCAGTTCCACCTTTGACTAATCATAACAGAAGATGTGGAGTTTTGAGTATTCCATATCTCAGTACGGAAGACTGTCAGGTCATATGGCGTGCATCGTGCATTGGAAACTGTAGAAGCCAACGGGAGGTATTTGAATAATCACGTCAAAACATTTTCACATATTTTTTTATTTTTTAACTCGCAAATAGATGAATGAATTAGAATAATGTAAGAAAACAAAAAAAATTATTGCTTTGGTTCATTTTTTAATGAAACTTTAACTTCTTTTCGTGAACGTTAATAATCATAATGAATAACTAATGGTATGTAATAGATTTTATATTCATTTAATTTTAAAAAAACAAAATTTTTGGAAATTTATAATGGTAAAGAAAATTTCCTTGTTGATTATCATATATATATTTTTTTAAATACAAAAAAATGTGATATTTACTTTAGGTCAAAAATTTGATTTCGTTTACAATTTATGAAATTTTGCAAAACAGAAGACAATATTTTCACATTTCAACATGAAATATTGTGATTTTTCATTGTAAGCATGTTTACAAATTTACTATAAAATTGATTTTTACAATTATTAATGCATCAACATACTTGTGTGATCATTAATTAGAACAAAAATCAGATTTTTAAACATATTATATAATTAAAAAATGAGAAATCATGAATGATAATCATTTTTTATTAAAAAAAATTCACAAATCTTTGAGAAAAAAATTGTAATATTTAGTATAAATATTCATCAATTTTATATAATTTTTATTACATATGATTTTTTTCAATAACATACTTGAACATTTTTTTATACAAAGTCTCCTGTTCAGCTGGCGGTCCCATTCCAAGTTTCACGCAATCCGTCAAGATTGTTCGTCACCGAACTTCATACTTCAAGAGTTTGCATTAGTAGACTTTGAAATCACCTCCTCCTTTATTGATCAAGCTTTTGTCATTCGGCACAGCATTCCCACTATTAAGAAGGTTGTTTCTATTTTGGCGGACGTTATCGATGGACAGAACGTCACTTCTGCTACAGTCACACACGAAACAACTCCCTTGGAACTTCGTATTGGTGCTCACTCGGAGCGGATTGCCTTCAACATCATATCTACTCCTCATCGTCATGTTCTCCTTGGTATGCCTTGGCTAGAATCTCACAAGGCAATCATCGATTGGCGTTCTAAAAGTCTCATTCTTAGAGCACAACGGTGCACTCTACCATCCCAAGTCCAGAGTAACATCATATCAAGTTTTGTCAAAAACCCAGCAGTCAAGAGTATGTCGGTGGACAGAATCACTTCTTGTCCTATTAGCATTTCATCTATTCAGCTCTGCAATCCTGTAGTCGAGAACCCAAAGGGATCAAAACAAAATTCATTCCGATTGAGAATTCTGCCAAGAAATCCAATCTTGTCCAAATATCATGTATTGAGAAAACACCTTCCTATCAAGCTGCCAAAACTCTTCAAGCTCTTGTCATTGATACCCATCCAACTAGTGAGAAAAAACCTCAACCGGAATCAGAAACTATGAAGCTACCAGAGAAGGACATAAACTTTGCCAATGTCTTTGAAAAGAAGAAAGCCCACCAATTGCCATAGAATCGCGCGTACGACTGTCTAATTGATTTAGAAGAAGGTACAACATCTCCTTTTGGTCCAATTTATGGACTTTTAGAGCCAGAACTTCAAACTCTACGGCTACCTAGCCGAAAACTTTGCAATAGGATTTATTCAACACTCCAAGTCTCCAGAAGGCGCTCCGATCCTGTTTGTGAAGAAAAAAGATGGCTTTCTCCGTCTTTGTGTGGACTACCGCGGAGTATATCAAATCATAAAAAAAACCCATATCCTCTATCTTTGATTTTGAACCTCTTGGACCTTCTTCAATCGGATTAAATCTTCACAAAGATTGATCTCAGAGGAGCTTAGAACCTCGTCCGGATTCAGCCTGGAGGCGAGTGAAAAAAGTCCTTTCGGACGCGCTACGGTCACTTTGGATACAAGGTAATGCCTTAAGGACTCACTAATGCACCGGCAGTTTTTCAGCACCTCATGAACGATACTTTTGCGAGCACTTGCATGATTTTGTTGTGATCTATCTAGATGACATTTTGATCTTTTCCAAAAACCAAGAAGAGCACATCAAGCATGCATATTTCTTGCTTGTCAAACAGCGCGAACATGGTCTTTATGCCAAACTGGAGAAGTGTGAGTTTGATAGAACTACAGTGGAATTCCTTGGCTACATAATCTCTCTTGTAGGTGTCTCCATGGACGAATCAAAGATTGTTGCAATCCAATCCTGCTAGACGCCGTCTTAGATAAAAAAGATGGAACTATAATCCAATAGATTTTATAAACAAGTACAAAGGGTGTTCTTTTGTTGTTTTCAACTAACATCATTCAAATGTATATCTACCAAAAATATGGATTACTAACATAGCAATTATAATTAATCCATCAGAAAGAAATTTATCCCATAAAGCTTAATGTAGAATAATCTCATCTTTAGATTAGATTGAATAAAATTTTTTTTTTTTTAAATTAAAGAAAAGGATTTTAAATTGAAAATGTTTTTTCACAACATCAATAACAGTTAACTAAACAAGAATTATTTAATAACAAAGATAAGTTGTTGCGTTGAAGATGTTTTATTGGAGATTATCAACGTTATTAACATCAAGAAAAAACAACAATACAGGTAGCAACAGTAATACAATAGTTTATAGGGTTCAAAATCAAAATCATAAGTCTTGAACCCTACGTTTTTAATCCGAGGGTTTTCATAAAAAATCTTAAACTTTAGGATTTCAATGCAAAACTCTGAAATAATTTTCCAATAAAATATAATCCAAGTATATATTTTTCAATATATACTTGGATTTTTTATTTTTGAATATCAAATAATAAAAAATAAAAAATGCTAAAAAAATAAAAAATTATGATTTTCTAAATGGATAAATAGAAATATGGTTTTTTTATCTCAATAATTGAGCGAAACAAGATGATTCTTGTAAGATGCAATTGACATGAAGACTATTGTTATCGGAGAATAACTGAATAGTGAGTTCAAGATTTTGGATGGATGCAAGTTGTTCCGTCTAACTTATTTACTTGTAAGAAAAAAAACTTAAAAAATTCGATAATAGATTGTGAATATTATTATATTATATTTAAAAGCTTACTTCTAAAGTAAATGGAAAATATGACAATTTTCTTTTGCTAGTTGATATGTTTTAGCATTATTGTCATTGCAACATATTCTTGAATCGGATTTAAAATTCATTGGGATTTATCAACTTGAAGATAAGAAGTTCCGATTTAAATATACAATATTGCATTGATGTATTTGTTATCCAGTTATAAATTCTATGATATCATCTACTCTGTACTCTTCATATGGCACGAACTTTGATGTGTGAACAATTTTATTCATACTACAAGAAGTATATGAAGAATTTTGGATCCAGAAATGTATCTAAATCTAGGAATTAAGTTCAAGATAGAAAAAATAATATCCAACTCTAAAAATAACTTTCAGGTAATATTGGATTAGTTATCTTTATTGAACTAATGTCACCGAAGAGTTTGATGTTGAGGAGTACTACATTCTTAAATATGTTATGCCCTCACAGTTAAAATTCTTAGTCAACGTCATTTTCCACATGAAATTTGAGAAAGTTTTGAAACCAGTCACCTAATGGTGCATGTATTAGGGTAGGGTGTACGTATTGACATCCTCTTTGACTGGTTTTTTCAACAGATATCAAATAATGTCACAATGACGTTGCTTTCAGAAGCTGAAACACCTGTCGACGTATATGGCTGATCCCATCGGGCCACGCACTCAAGAAACGGATGGGAAGTTAGTATAGAGAACCTAACTAGCACATGACACCAAGACTTTCTGGATACTTATGTCTCAGGTCATGTGTATACCTTCACTTTTTTCTGTCACATGTTTGCTGTACTCAACGCAGTGACAGGGCTCTCTGTTGCTCAATATTTCCCGTTTGGGCAGACCGAGTCATACTCGTTTGCTTTCACCTACAAGCTCAAAGCTGAAGTAGAATCTCCTTTCATGCTCCCATTCTTTAAAAACTGCTTCATGAATGCATTCATATATGTGACATGTTCTGGTCCGAATATGCTATACTCCCCCATCCTTGGTAAAGTGGAGAACGACGTTGGTCCTATTATTATGAAACATGCAGTGCCACGGGTCAGATTTTTCAAGATATGGTTTGTACTTGGTTTGTACTTTTCAACGTCCTCCCACTACGATGACTGTTTACTTTACTGTATTGCATTGAAGATAAAATGAGACTCACTCTGTAACCATGCGACGAAGCGAAACAAAAGAACTGCGGTCGTTAATAAGAAATAGTCGGTGGAAGATTGA